AAAAAAAAAAAAAATCCACCCAGCTGGGTGCCGGTGCGGGTGGCTCATGCCTATAATCCTAGCTACTCAGGAGGCTGTGATCTGAGGATCACAGTTCAAAGCCAGCCTGGGCAGGAACTTTGGTGAGACTCTTCTCTTCAATAAACCACTAGAAAACCGGAAGTGGTGCTGTGGCTCAAGCGGTAGAGCTTGCCTAGAGCTGAAGAACTGAGGGACAGCACCCAAGCCCAGAGTTCAAGCCCCAGGACCACCACCAACAACAACAAAAAAGATCCACCCGTCAGAATGCCAGAACAGACATTCCAAAGCACAAGTGCTGGCCCCATCACTTGGGCCTGCTTTGCCCTCTTGCGCTCAGTCTTGAGCAGCAGGCACCTGATTGCCAAGGCACCCACACTGACTCTCACCCTTGCTCCCCTCTCACAACTCACCTTGAAAGCTGGTCCTGGGGTCCTGTCCACGTAGGGTGTGTCTGATCCTTCGACTCTCAGGGGCGTGTTCTCAACCTCCCCCCAGGTCATCAGTGGAGACTCATTCACACCTACAGATGGAAAGCCCAGAGTCATCTCAGGTTGGGGATCTTGCTGGATCCCATGACCTCCCCACTACAATAGCCAGTTACCCCTATGTATATTCTAGCTAGAATCAAGGCTAGACACAGGCCCACTCTCCTTCCTCAAGATCCTTGTCTTTTGAGAGGGAAAGCTAAGTCAGCCCAAAACAGAAGTGCCTAAGGACACTGGGTTAGCTGGACCCTATTCTAGCACAGAACCACAGAAACCTCTAGAAGTCCTACCACCCCCAAGGGAAGAGATGCTCTGGTCTCTCCACCTCCTAGAACTCAGGAACAACCTGTAGCACCTCCACATGCTTTAGGCCCTTTCATAGCAACTATCATAGAGTGTGGAGGGCAGAGGGGTGCCTCATGCACCAAAGGCCCCCAAGACCACCATGTAGGAAGACTATATGCCCAGTACCCAGAACCTTTCTCCCTGCAGAGAGCTCTCTGTATTTAAATCTAGAGTCACTGTACATTCAGAACCCTACCTGCTAGTACCACAGACAGGTCCAGAATAGGAAACAGTACTTCTAACATCTCAGGTCAGGTCTGCTGAGAGTCTAGCCCACCCATAACCCCAATCAGCCTGGGTACCTGATCCATTTCTTACCAGGGGCAGGAGAAGGAGTAGCAACAAATCCAAATCCACCCACTCGAGGAGACTCCTGGGGGATAAGCTCCTTGCCGTCAGGGCCCACCTTGCCCTGTTTATGCTGGAACAAGCAGAAAGGTATCATCAGAGGGACTCTCCCCAACCAGTAGAGCAGATACAGAGGTGCCGCTGGAAACACTTCCCCTCCTCAGGACAAAACTGGAGCTCTAAGGTGGTTAACCCACTTGGGGAAAAAGGAGGAACCCATCCCACCATTGGGTACCAATGGCTCAGACCTATAATCCTAATTACTCAGGAGGCTGAGATTTGAGGATCATGGTTTGAAGCCAGATTGGCCAGGAAAGTCCAAGGGATTCATCTCCAATAAATACTAAAAATGGCAGTAGTGGAGCTATAGCTCAAGTGGTAGAGCATAGCCTTGAGCAAAAAAGCTCAAGGACAGCACACACAAGTCCTGAGTTCAAGCCCCAGGACTAGTTTTAAAAAAAGACCTTGAGGGTGTGTCAGAGTGGGTAGCCAAGCAAGATGCCCCCCTACACTCCCCATCCAGGGCAGTGCTGACACCACAGCCTAACAGGGTACAATGTTAACAAGAAGTTCTGTAAGTCTTTCCACCTCTGGCCACCAACACTGTAACCATGACCACCATCAAAAAAGTACTCGTCTTGCTCCCAAGCTAGCTCACACTGCTACCACAAGCACTGTCCCACCATGGTCTGCCCTCTGGGATCAGGCTCCCTTCTAGCACTTGCTCTCCTTTGCTTGCTTAGCCCATTGTCTATCCACAACTATGCCTGAAGTACAGTATGGAGACAGAAGACTGGGCTGATTCCAGAAGCTTCCAGTTTCTTGGGTCCTACTACCAAGAAAGCTGGCATGAATCTGGACCCACAGAATGTGCCAGACCAAGACCATGCCCTTGGCTTGGCACTGTCTTGGTCAGCTTGTATAGGCTAAGAAGACATAAAGGGCCCTGCTACACAGTGACACTAGTACTTCTGCCTATTTAACTCCACCCACCCAAGGACAGTTCTAACTTAAAGGGGACAGACAGGATGGCCACAGGATGCCTGCCCACAACTAGCCCAGACATATGTGACTCTAGCCCACAGCTGGCCCTGCTGGCTTACCTGGGCATTAAGGGCAGCTGCCTGCTGGAGCTGGGACCTGCTCAAGGCCTGGCTGAAGGGATCCCGGAGGAATCGTGTGTTCTTATGCACCACCTGCCGGGGCTTCTTAAAGAGCTGCTCTTCATCAGGGACACCTAGAAGAGGAAGCAGAGATGGCAGCAGTAGGTAGCCAACCCCAGTGCCAGTAGCTCTGTGGCTTGAGGGTTAAGAACACTCTTTCCAGGATTGGAGCTACACCTCTAGAAACCTCTAGAAGTCCTACCACCCCCAAGGGTAGGGGAAAGCCAATGAGGTACCATGTTTGAGTCCTAGTCTCAAACCAAAAAAAAAAAGAAGAGAAAAAGGAAAGAAAGCCAAGTGTCAGTGACTCATACCTGACATCCTAGCTACTCAGGAAGCTGAGATCTGAAAATCACGGCTTGAAGTCAGCCAGAGAAGAAAGTCTGTGAGATTCTTATCTAATTAAACACCAAAAAAATCCAGAAGTGGAGCTGTGGCTCAAGTAACAGCTCCAGTACAGTGGCCAGGCCCAGAGTTGAAGACCAGAACTGATTAAAAACCACAAACACACACACTCACGCACGCACGCACGCACACACACACACACACACACACACACTTTCCTCAGGCAAGACACTCCCAGCTGAATAGAAGCATCTCTACTGGCCTATCTCAGACTCCACACAACCATAAAACTTGGGTAAAACTAGAAGGAACTTATTATCCAACTAAGGTCCAGATCACCCATCGGAGGCAAACCAGGACCCCTCTGAGACCTACATTGCAAGAGTACATACACACCCACAGCCCCTGGCTCTGAAGACTATGTTGTAGAGGAACATACAAAACAACAACAACAACAAAAAAAAACAGACAAACCCTAACGACCCCCTAATAGAGCCAAGCACATATACCTGTATTCCTTGGGTCCTTGTCCTGCTCTCAGGCCCCAACTGCTTACCTTCTGGGTAGTACATGAGAGAATTCTTCGCCTTGTACTTCCAGGTCTCCACCCCAGCCTGGCTGCTCTCGATGGCTTGGTGCTCTGCCGATGGGAGTTCAAGATTATCTTTTTGCCTCTACAATCACATGGGGGAAAGTGAAGGTCAGGAGCGTCCCTAAACATAGTACCTGTGTCCCTGGAACTCCTCAATCCCAACAGAGAATGACTATGTCCCCAAACTCCAGAAATACCTTCTCAAACTCCTCCTCAGCTTGGTAAAGCCAGGCATGGCGGGCCCGGTTCTTCTCCTTGGCTACCTCCATGATCTCCTGGAAGGAGGCATTGTCCTCACTTGTATAACGACTCAGGAAGACATCCAGGCTGGGAAGTGGCTCCTTTTCCTCTTCCTCTCCAGCCTCTCCTGTTCAGGGTTTGCAGGTGGGGGCAACACAGTACCATACATGGCATAAACCCCACTCTGCAGAAGAGAGGCCAGTGTACCCAGACCCTGGAATCACAGCACCCAAAAGCAGGGCTAGAATCCTTGTCCCTGCTAGATAATACCCCTAAAGGGGTAGAAGTTAGCCACCTCCAACTGCTCAGGGAGCTCTCTGCAGCAGCCTTGGCAACATTCTTATCTGCTAGATGCCTCTGAAGGAGGGAGGCATTAATATAAGAGTTTGTGATGACAAAGTTTGGCAGCTCTTGGTCACCAGGATTTGCTGATCCCAAGGACCTTACTCTCAGCCCTGAGAACTCTCTCCCTCCCTGGGATTTCCTTATCCTAATTGTTCTTCCCTTCTTTGAACTTGTAAGTATGTGATTGTGGGGCTGGGAAGGTGGCTCAGTGGTACAGTGCTTGTCTTGCATGGATGAGGCCCTGGGTTCAATTCCTTTGCACCATATAAGCAGAAAAAGCCAGAAGTGGCACTGTGGCTCAACTGGTAGAGCACTCGCCTTGAGCTTAAGAGCTGAGGGAGAGTGCCCAGGCCCAGAGTTCAGGCCCCACAACCAACAAAAAAAATAATAAGTGTGTGATTGTAACTTAAGCATCCAGGCCTGCCAGCTAGTCTCTAAGGCAAGACCTATATGGTTCTGGATTTGTAGATTCTAGGCCACAACCTCAACCACTCCAGCTAACACAGAAATTGGTACCCTCGGAGCGGTATAGTACTCTCAAAGATAATATTGCAAATTTCAGTGGGATGACCTGAAGATCCTTCTCTTCTGTTCTGATAGTCTTAACCACTGGCTAAGTGCTAAAATGCAAAGTGCAGCAGGGTATGAGTTTGAGACCTGGAGTCAGAAAAAGGACACAGCCAGGAGCTGATTACTTACTCATGCCTATAAACCTAGCTAATCACGAGGATGAGATGTGAAGATTGCAGTGCAAAGCCAGCCAGGACAGAAAAGTCTGTGAGACTCTCACCTTTAACTGGCAAAAAGCCAGAAGGGGAGCTGTGGCCAAGTGGTAGACTCATAGCCTTAAGTGGAAGAGCTAAGGAACAGCACCCTGGCTCTGAGTTCAAGTCCTAGCACAGAGGAAGAGAGGGAGGAAGGAAGAAAGGAAAAAAGAAAAGGAACCTGGCGCTGTGGCTCACACTTATTAATCCTAGCTATTAAGCTAAACACCTGAAGAGCACAGCCAGCCTAGCAGGAAAGTCCACGAGACTCTTATTTTGAATAAACTTCCAAAAAGTTTGAAGTGGAGCTGTGTTCAAGTGGTAGTGCACTAGCCTTGAGCACAAAAGCTCAGGGACAGCACCCAGGTCCTAAGTTCAAGGCCTGCGACTGGCACAAAAAAGAGAAAGAGAGAGAGACAGAGAGAGACAGAGAAAGAGAAAAAGAGAGAGACTCCAGCTCCATTCAACCACTGACCATTGCTGAGACCTATAGAAGTTACTTCATCTGTAAATAAGAATAGCAATGGTTTTTACAACTTAAGATTACTGAAAATACTCACAGAGTTACTGAAATAGAAAATGCATATTTACAAAAATAAACGAATCTTGGGGCTGGGAAGGTGGTTCAGTGGTAGAGCATTTGCCTTGCATGCATAAGGCCCTGGTTTGATTCCTCAGCACCACATAAGCAGAAAAAAAAAAAAAAAAGCCAGAAGTGGCACTGTGGCTCAAGTGATAAAGTGCTAGCCTTGAGCAAAAGAAACTCGGACAGGGCTGGGAAGGTGGCTCAGTGGTAGAGCGCTTGCCTTGCATGCATGAGGCCCTGGGTTCGATTCCTCAGCACCACATAAGCAAGAAGAAAAAAGCCGAAGTGGCACTATGGCTCAAGTGGTAGAGCGCTAGCCTTGAGCTGAAGAGCTGAGGGACAGCGCCCAGGCCCAGAGTTCAGGCCCCACAACCAGACCCAAAAATAAATAAATAAATAAAAAGAAAGGAATTCGGACAGTGCCCAGGTCCTGAGTTCAAGCCCCAGGACTGGCAACAAAAAGAAAAGAAAAGAAAAACAGAGCCAGATTGAAAGACAGCACACCAAGCTTGTCCCAACTTTACACAGAAAAAGGTCAGGAACATTTTCCTTGAACAGATAGCAGAGTAGAGACTTGAAGGAAAAGAAAGAACAAACCAGGCATTTATCTGAGGGAAAGGAACAGTGTAAAAGAAACCAGCAGGAAGGTCCCAGGTGTCTTCAGAGGACAGCAGTGAAAGGAGCCTTCTAATGCCCACACAGGGAAGGGGCTGACACACTGAACAAATGAACACCTTCACAGTTGAAACTAGACCCAGATCTTTCAGCTTCTAGACCAGTGCTATTTAATTCAAAGATGCTATTTAGGCAAGAAGACCCTTCAGGGATAACATGTAGCCTGAAGCTCTTGGACCATTCCTGAGGGCCTCAGATCCTGGGACCAAAAGAATAAGCTATCACTCACCATCCTCTAGGCTTCGGCCCTGAGGCCTAGGCCTGTTGCCCACAGCTCCAGTGCTAGTATGTACCTCAGGGGTTTCAAATGTGGCTGGAGTCACATCTAGGGGGAGACAAGAAGGAAGTTAGAAATAGGAGTAAGCCTATAGTGACATTCAAAGAATGTTCCCCTCTGCCACCCACCCACAGAATCCTCTTACAGGGTGGTGGGGGCTCTCGTGACATCTTGCCAAGCGCAGAACCAAACTTGATAGCAATCTGGCGCATGCGTTCCAAGTCTCCATTCTCCTCAGCTTCCAGATACTCTTTTTGTGCTTGTAGCTTCTCCACATCAGGAAAGAAATCCCTTTGGATGACCATCTGGAGGCCCTATCAGGAGAGAAAGACAGAGTGGCCTCAGTGGCCTGCCTCATAGTTCATTGTTCTTCTGCCAGCCAAAGCTCAGCTGCACCTCTTTCAGCATCTATCTACCCATTTATGGAGGCTCCAGTGAGGGAGTCAACAGACACTCTCTGGGGAAACCAACTTGACATCCCTATAGCTTTTCTACAACATCTAACATTTTCATTCTCCTTTTCTGGTGCCAGCTCCACAACATCTAGACCAACATGGATGCTGCCACCTCCTTTCTATCCATGAGTTTTTGTTTGTTTATGGTGCTGGTCCTAAAGCTTAAACTCTGGGCCTGGGCTTTGTCCCTGAGCTTCTTTTTGCTCAAGGCAGAGCTTTCCCACTAGAGCCACAGCTGCCACTTCAGCTTTTTCTAAGTAGTTTATCAGACATAAGAGTCTCATGGAACCCCGGTGTCATTGGCTCACACCTCTAATCCTAGCTACTCAGGAAGCTGAGATCTGATGATCACATGGTTCAACATGCCAGCCCAGGAAGGAAACTCCAAGAGACTCTTTTTTTTTTTTTTGGGGGGGGGGGGTCCGGTTGTGGGGCCTGAACTCTGGGCCTGGGCGCTGTCCCTCAGATCTTCAGCTCAAGGCTAGTACTCTACCACTTGAGCCACAGTGCCACTTCTGGCTTTTTTCTTTTTGCTTATGTGGTGCTGAGGAATCGAACCCAGGGCCTCATGCATGCAAGGCAAGTGCTCTACCACTGAGCCACGTTCCCTGCCCCCGAGAGACTCTTATCTTCAATAAACCACTCAGAAAATTGAAGTGGAGCTGTGGCTCAAGTGGTAGAACACTCGCCTTGAGCTGAAGAGCTGAGGGCTAGCCCCCAGACCCAAAGTTCAAGCCCCAGGACCGACCAAAAAAAAAAAAAACTGGGCTAGCTTCGAACCATGATCTTCTGATCTCAGCCTGCTGAGTAGCTTACAGGTGTGAGTCACGGGAACCCAGCTTTCTCTGAGCTTTTGTGCTCAAAGCTAGTGCTTTACTACTTGAGCCACAGCTTCACTTCCGGACTTTTTTGGCAGTTAATCAGTGTCACAGACTTTTCTGCCCCAGCTGGCTTTGAATGGAGCTCATCAGAGCTTACACGCTTACAAGTGTGAGCCACTAGGCCTAGGCTTATTTCCAATCCAAACCGTCCTCCTGAGTGACTTCAACCAGTCACCGTCACCACCGTCACCGTCACCACCACCACCACCACCACGCCACCACCACCACCACCACCACCACCACCACCACCACCACCACCACCACCACCACCACCACCACCACCACCACCACCACCACCGGATGAAATTCCTGTTATCACCTCCAGTCAGATCTTGCTCTTGGGTTGCAAAATGTGTACATCCAGCCTAAAACCAAACTGCCCGCCTCTAATCCCTGAGAGAGCTCCTTCTGAGTCCCGTGTGTTTGTGGTAACAACCAACTCCTACATCGAGGGACATCCATGGACCACCCACTCAAAGATACTGCCACAACAGCAGCTGATTTCCAGGACATCGCCTGTCCTGGCCTTTACATTTGTCGTCACTGCCTTCTAGAAAGCCATTTCTTGCCATCATCCTTCAAACTTATCAACCTTCTGAAATTCACAATTTAATGGAAAACTTTGTTTTCTGGTCCTTACCACATACAACAGAACTGTCCCCCCTTTCTCCTGCTAGTGCCTCCCCAAGTAAGGACATTTCCCTCAGCACTGGTTAATTGTCTCTGGAGACTTCCTATGCCGCGAGGGAAGAGAATCAATTGTTAACACGTCCCCAGGCTGAAGCGAGTGCCGGGACCCGAGAGGAATGCGAAACAGAAAAGGACCCGGAAGTCGCCGACTTTCGCAGTGAGGTCATACCTCGATATATTCTTCCTCATCCAGGACCCGCTGCTTGCTCCTCGCAGTTCCAGTGTCACCCGCCGCGCGCTTCCTTGGGTGCCCGGACTCGACGGGCAGCAAAATAGCCCGAGCCGATCCGCCCGGCGTCCCCATCGCTATCCCAGAACTGCTCGGGCGACGCATCGCGTCACAAGGTTGGGGGTGGGGTGGGGAGCAGGAATTTCACCATTTGCGCAGGCGCCTACAACAGCTAACCAATGGGAAAACAGTACTTTTCTAGTGCCAGAGGGCGCGTCGTGTGACGTCACGGAAGCACTTGCGTTTGTGGGAGTTGTAGTCTTTCTCCCTGCCCTGAGTTGTCTGGGCTGTAGACACAATGGGGCGCTGTTGTGAGGGCTATTTGACGTGTAGGTCAAGTTGTTAAACCAATTTTAGCACTGGAGGAAATCAGAAGGCTTTGGGTTTCCAAATTCTCGCAAATAATCACTCAATGCGCTTCAATAATATTATCAAAAACACTCTTCAGAAAACTTGGTTTTATACAACCTTTATGCAAGGAAAGAACAATAAGCTAATTCCTCCTAGATCATTATAACAAAAGACAAATAAGGTGGGGAAAATGGTTGTTCAGTAAAGAAATTTCTGGTTAGTGATCATTTACCCCTTTAAATGCCAGAGTGTTCTTCCCAGAAGAGAACCATTTCTCATGGAAATGAAACAGAAAACTTACTAAGCACTTTTCAGGAATTTCTTCCCAAAGGGAGGTTATGAATTATTACAAACAAGCCCCGAATGATTGAATACAACCTTGCTTTTAGATATGCAACCACATCTTGATTCATTGGGATTCACTGGGGACTCTGGTGACGTTCCTGCTTCCATAGAGCTGATGGTTCAATTAGTGGAGGAGACAAACACAAAATTGTAAAGTGGCAGTTGTAACTGGCAAAAAGAATTTGTATTTAGAGAATCTTTATCTAGTGGGGAAAATCAGAGGACATTTCCTGGACAAAGTGACTGTAGATCCAAAAGATCAATGGCATTGCAATGGGACGAAAGAATGGAAAGAATATATTCAAAAATCTAGTGGTAGGAGGGAGCAAGGGAAGTTACAAGCAGACTTTTGGATACACACAGAATGTAGTGAGGTATGAGATGCTACCAAAAAGGCAGTTAGGCTGGGAGATTCATGGGTGCCCATGAGTTTTTCACCTTTTTTTTTCTGAATTAAAAAGGAGCCAAAATAGGTACCAGTAGACATAGCTGGAGAGAGATGCAATGGTCACGGTGAGAGGTGATAGTGCAATTGGAATTTGAAAGAAAGTGGATTCTGGCATGATTGATGTGTTTCTTTAGAGGTAAAGTTGAATTGCTATTGGATCAGATATAATGGACGAGGGATTCCAGTTCGTACACTTGGATTGAACAGGGAGCACTCATTGTGGACAATGAGCCTGTAGACTTCTGGAGGAGTGGTTTGGGGGCAGTTTGACATAAATATCTAGCCCAAGGAAGAGTCCTGGGTTGGAGATGGAAGTGGAAATGTGGCAAAGAGAATAGAATTGGAGCTAAGGATGGGAAAGATAAACCAAGAAGAGAATGGGGATGAGGAGATAAGCCTCCAGAGGTCTACATTAATGGCAGCTTGTGGATGGGGGAGGGTGGTCAGCCTGCCAAAGAGCAGTTGGAGAGGAAGAAACAATTCAGAAGGGCAGTTAGAGCCTGGAAGGTAGAGCTTAGATACACTGGACACAGTTGGTTGACCATGATTGCCCTAAAAGATGACAAATGGGGGCTGGGAAGGTGGTCAGTGGTAGAGTGCTTGCCTTGCATGCCTGAGGCCCTGGGTTCGATTCCTCAGCACCACATAAGCAAAAAGAAAAAAGCCAGAAGTGGCGCTGTAGCTCAAGTGGTAGAGCTCTAGCCTTGAGCTGAAAAGCTGAGGGACAGCGCCCAGGCCCAGAGTTCAGGCCCCACAACCAGACCCCCCAAAAAACCAAAAAAGCAAAAAAACAAAAAAAAAAAAGATGACAAATGGCTGTTTAGCTAAGGAGAACAAGGGGCTTGGAAGCTAGCTAGATGGAGTGTCTCAGCCTGCAGGGAGCTGACCAGGATCTAGTTTTTTCCATTACTAAGACAGTGTTTAAAGGCAAAGTCAAGCTTCAGTTAGAAGGGTTTTGTGACCGTCATAATGGTGTGTCCTAGGGAGATGGGAGTGACAGCACCTGCCCTTAAGGCACCCAGCAGTATTGGGGAAGCTTTGGCTGGGGGACACATGTCAACTTGGGAGTCATCCAAACTCGCCAGGCTTTGAAATCCCCAAGAACTATGGTGTTGGTTACCGTGTCTCTTACAGATACTGTTCCACACCCACCAGGACCTACAAAGAGACAGAATGAGATGCTCAAGCCAGATGGGGCCCTGGGAACTTTGGAGTCCACTAGTCAGGATGGTAGAGAGAAGGGAAACTTTTTCCAAAACTGCAAGGATGGAGTTCCTGGATCTAACCTTACCTTGCTCAAGCCTAGGATGGCATGGAAATCCCCAGAAGGAGGAAACCAAGGGCCTGTATCCATAAAGCAGGTCAGTAGCCCTTAGGGGACCTTGCCACTAGCCATGTTATCTCTACTCACTGGAGGACATTTGGCATGGGATATGGATGACTCACTGTGCTGTGGTCCCCAAAACACCCTAGTCCCCCACACACACACACATACACACAACCTGGGAAGGAAGGAGGAGGGGCAGCTACTGGCTGGGTGTAGACATGGAGCTCAGTTGAATATGGGACTCTGGACTGCTTTTGTGGCATTTGTAGTTCTTGTGTATTTCTTGGTATCAGCAGGGCTCAAAGATTAAGGTGCAGGGCTGAGAAGGTGGTTAGTGGTAGAGTGCTTGCTTTGCATGCATGAAGCCCTGGGTTCAATTCCACAGCACCACATAAGCAGAAAAAAGCCGGAAGTGGCGCTGTGGCTCAAGTGGTAGAGCACTAGCCTTGAGCTGAAGAGCTGAGCAACAGCACCCAGGCCCAGAGTTTAGGCCTATGACCAGCAGAAAAAAGAAAGAAAAAAAAAAGATTAAGATGCAAGTGAAAAGCTGGAAATTACTTCCAACCTTATTCAACAGGTGAGATACCACAGCCTTGTGTAAGACATTTGAAGAGGCAGTGAGTCTAAATGATGTAGATACTACGTTAAAGTGGGTCCATGTCTACATGAGGAGAAATAGGAGACTAGTATGCCCTGGGGTGGAGGCCACTGGAGAAGATTCTGGGCCCTATGTTGATAAGCAATGGTTCCTGCCCTGGGGTGGAGTTAGTGCCTCCTTGGGCAGTGGGTTTTGAGGAGGCTGACCTGTTCCATGCCCCTACTCCACCTACAAATGAATCTTCCTAGTTCCTGTCATCCAGGAGGAGAGGGCATGTAGGTGCTTAGCATGCCCTCCCTTGAGGGGGGAGTTGTCTCTGCCACACATACATGCACACACACCCAGCACTAGTTCCTGTGACCAGAAAGTGCGAGAAGTTGCTTCCTCTCCTAGAGTCCTTGTTCATCAAGAAGGTCTGTCTTCTTTCTGTGTGGGGTCCGAAGGTCACAGCCAAGGCCAAGGGTAGCTTTCAGGATCAGCAGCAGCTTTCCTTGGGAGCTTTCTTAGGGCCTGGCAGGAGCCTTGAAGATGATGATGCCCGCTTCTGGTGTCGCCACTTGGCCCGTCGGTTCTTAAACCAGACCTAAGGAGAAAGAGGGAGGAAGAGGGGGCTACTCAGGCTTCCAGGACTGTGGTCAAATGCTACTGGTTCCAGAGAGAGGAACAGAGGATTTTAAAGAAGGATGTTAGCTACTCAGGAGGCTGAGATCTGATAATTGGGGTTCAAAGCCAGCCTGGGCAGGAAAGTCCCTGAGAATCTTGTCTCCAATTAACCACCAGAAAACTGGAATTAGCCGACAAAAAAAAAAAAAAAAAAGATAAGGGTGTGGGTGGACAGGGGTGAGTGCTACCTTCCATGTGTATATGCATGGACCAGTACTGGGACTTGAACTCAGGGCCTGGGCACTGTCCCTTGGCCTTTTCTGCTCAAGGCTAGTTCTCTAACACTTCTGAGTCACAGCTTCACTTCCCAGCTTTTTACTTTTTGTGTTTAATTGGAGATAGGAATCTTAAAGAGGGGCTGGGAATGTGGCTCAGTGGTAGAGTGCTTGCCTCACACACATGAGGCCCTGGGTTTGATTCCTCAGCACCACATAAACAAAAAGAAAAAAGCCAGAAGTGGCACTGTGGCTCTAGTGATAGAGCACTAGCCTTGAGAACGGAGAGGTTCAGGGACAGTGCCCTAGCCCAGAGTTCAAGCCCCACAACTGGCAAAAAAAAAAAAAAAAGAGTCTTAAAGACTTTTCTGCCTGGGCTGGCTTCAAATCAGATCCTCAGATCTCAGTCTCCTGAGTAGCTTGGATTACAGATGTGAGCCACCAGTGCCTAGTCGTCACCTGCCCTTACCGTGGCAGATGTTGACAGAGGCTCCTGGAATGAATGGGAATCGCTTTCCCACCCTCCCAGCGTCTGCTCAGCGCCAACTGGGACGCCCCTTTGCAGATTTGTGCATTTGCGAACTTCCCAAAAATCTGGAACGTTGAACGAATGCCTCTTTTATCATCGAGTGAGATTTAAAATAAAGGCAAATAAACTGCCCAAACTTAACTGCCCATTCCTACCTAACCAGTGCAGTCCCTCCCTCCCCCTGCCCTTTCCCCCCCCTCCTGCCCAGGCACTGGCCCCACGCCCCATCGCGCCACCCCGCAGAGCCTCTCCCTCCACCACACTGGGCCTCCAGGGCTTCCTCCGGGCAATCAGGGCGGGCGATTATAGAAAATTAAGAGCGGGAGGCGCAGCCTCCCCCTCGCAGTCCCGCAAGGCAGGACCCTCACCTCCACGCGCTCCTCGCGCAGGCGGATGCGGCCGGCCAGGCGCTCCCTCGTGCCCACGTCCGGATACTGGTTTTGCACGAAGAGCGCCTCGAGCGCCTGCAGCTGCTCCTCGCTGAAGATGGTGCGGTGGCGTCGCGTGCGTCGTTGCGGGCCGGGTCCGCTAGCACCGGACAGCGTCTCGGATCCTCCAGCCGGCGCTGCCAAGGGCAAGGGCGCCGCAGGTCCCAGCCTCAAGGGCCACGATAGACGTGAGCCTGCGGGGGGGACGGGGTGGTAAGGGGACCACGCGGGGACTGAGGTCTCCACCGATTGCGCCACGTTCAGGGGGACAGGACCCCTAATTGGGTTCTCCTCCCCTCCGATCAGCTTCCAGATCGGCCCTGCGCCCACTCACCCAGCCCGGCGGCCGCCTCGGGGGATCTACGCTGCACCGCGCGGGGGCCACAGCAGCAGCAGCAGGCACAGGGCACAATCTCGGGTGCCCCGGGCTCCTCGGGCTCGGCGGGGCTCTGGCGGCTGCTGGCCTGCGGTGGCCGGGCAGGTCGGGCAGCAGGATTCCGATCGGGCAGGCTGGAGAGGATGTGCTCTATGGAGAAGGGGCAGGGCCGCCCGGGACCCCCGCGGCTTGGCGCACCCCCGGCCGCCGCCATGCCCATCCAGCCCTGGGGCGGCCGCCACGGGCATATATATACACATACACGTCGTGGGGAGCGCGCGGTAATCCCCGGACCGGGTGCGGAGTCCACGCGAGCTAATCCCGCCGCGGGGCCAGGAGCGCGCTAATCCCCGAGTGCGGTGGAGGGAGAGCCGGCTCCGCCTCGGTGCGCGGGGGGCTGGCCGAGGTGCGGGGAGGGCTTGGCGTCCAGGGTGGGCAGCAATCGCCGATGGGGGTGGAGGCGCAGAGGGTCGGGTCCCCACTGCCGGTATCTTCCCTTTTGAGGGACGTCCGGACCCCCCGGATCGCGCCAGTGAACCCCCAACACTGCATATAGTTGGTTACTCAATTTATATAGTAGCGAGGAAAAACTGTGCTATGACTTGATGGTGGCGGAATCAGTAAAGGTGCCAAAACACACAGAATATGACAGAAAGTCAAATTTACCATTATTTAGTTGACAAAAATGAAAATGAAATTGAGTGTGGTGGTTAGTTGCTCGGGAAGCAGAGATTTGGGGATCACAGTTCAAGGCAACCTCAGGGAAGTTTAGGAGCCAAGCGCTGGTGGTTCCCTCCTGTGATCCTACATACTCAAGAGTACAAGATGTGAGGATCACCTTTCCAAACCAGCCCGGGCAGGAAAGTCTGTGAGACATTTATCCCCATTAAGCTACCAAACAAAGCAGGAAGTGGAGCTGTGGCTCAAGTGGCAGAGTGCTAGCCTTAAGCAAAAGGAACTCAGGGACAGTGCCCAGTGTTAGGAAAATGGAGGAGAAAGGAAGAAAACAGGCGGGACTTGATCTTCCACAGGCTAGGACTGTTCACTGAGGAACAACGAGGGGCATCGCCTTCCTGAGGGCTTGAAGACTGTGCAAAGAAGTGGGACAGGAGTTGGGTTTTTACGGGGTCTGAACAGGGAGGCAGAGGTTAACGGAAAAGCCACTAGGTCTAGGGAGGTGGGGGGCCCACAATGGAATGTTTACAGCCAGGCTCAGGTGAATTGCTGTACCTGCACATCTGTGCATACCTGGGGTCTGTATGCACCTTAGATATGCACCTCATTTTCCATCTTTTTATATACATGAAATGATTGGGCCAAGAGGGAGAGGCAAGTCCTTTACCCAGGACCAGAGTTCAGGCCCCAGGATCAGCAAGGAGAGGGGGGAGGGGAAGAGGGAGAAGGAGAAAGGGCAGGGGAAGAAAGGGGAGGGGGAAGGGAAACTTTGCCATAGGATTTGCCTCTGCTTTGTCAGGTCGTGGACAGACTAGGAATGCTAGAGCTACAGCCAGAATCTGCTGCCGATGCCTTTCCTATCCTGGGCTCCTTCCTGGGCTCTACTCAAAGTTGAGGTCCTTCAGATCACCCATAAAGTAACTTGCTTTTCCGGTATATCCCCAACCACTGATCCTAGAGACCTAATCTCTCCTCTCCCTCTCTCCCTCTGTCTTTCTGTCTCTGTCTCTGACCCTACCTCTCTCCCCTCCCCCATCTCATCCCGGACTTGAACTCATCCTAGGGCTTGAGCTTTTGTGCTCAAGGTTAGTGTTTTACCATATGAGCCACAATTCCATGTCTAGCCTTTCCTGTTTAAATGAAAATAAGAGTCTCATGGACTTTCCTACCAGGCTGGCTTCAAACCTTGATCCTCAGATCTCAGCCTCCTGAGTAGCTAGGATTACAGGTGTGAGTCACTGGCACCTGGCTCTATCTCTATTTGTCACTTCATTTCTGGGTTGTGAGAGTTTGTTATCAATGCAGTATACCAGTCCCATATCTGTTAAATAATTTACAAATATTTTCCCCATTCTATGGGCTGTTTTTCACACGCACTGGTAATGAAGTTGAAACTCAGGGTCTTGTGCTCTTTTAATTTTTTTTTTTTTTTGCTCAAACTGGTGCCTGGCAAGATTTAGGTCTTTTGCTTCCATCATAAAAGAGAAAAACAACCAGGAACCTGTGGCTCATGCCTGTAATACTAGCTACTCAGGAAGGTGAGATCTAAGGATTGTGGCTTGAGCCAACCCTGAGTAGAAAAGTCTGAGACTTTTATGTCCAATTAGCCACCAAAAGGCCAGAAGGGGAAAACACAAAGCTCTAAGTTCAGATGTTAGTATGGACATTTATATGCGCACACATGTGCGCACATGTGAGCGCGCGCACGCACGTGCACACACACACACACAAGACTTAAATCTTGAAAAAGCCCAATTTATGTTTTTCTTTGCTTGCTGTACTTTTGGTGCCACATCTAACAAACCATTTCCAAATAGAGATGTGGCTCAAGTGGTACAGGACTAGCCTTAAGCAAACAAACTAAGCAAGAACCTTTGGCTCCCTGACTTTTTGTTGCTGTTGTTGGTTGTAGGGCTTGAACTCTGGGCCTGGGCACTGTCCTTGAGCTCTTCAGCTCAAGGCAAGCACTCTACCTCTTGAACAACAGCGCCACTTCCAGTTTTCTGGTTAATTGGCGATAAGGGTCTCACTGACTTTCTTCCCCGGGCTGCTTTGAACTGTGATCCTCAGATCTCAGCCTCCAGAGTAGCTAAGATTACAGGTGTGAGCCGCCATGTCTCTGACTTTTTTAAGTTAAAAACAAATGGGAGCCAGGTGCTGGTGGCTCATGCCTATAGTTCTAGCTACTCAGGAGACTAAGATGTGAGAATCATGGTTCAAAGCCAGCCTGTACAGAAAAGGCTGTAAGACTCATCTCCAATTAACCATCAGAAAACTGGTAGTGGAGCTGTGGCTCAATGTGGTAGAACTACTAGCCGTGGGCAAAAAAACAGCTCAAGTACAGTGCCCAGGCCTTAAGTTCAAGCCCTACAACCATGACCAAAAATAACAAAACAATTGAGAAGCTCAGTGGTAGAGCTCTCACCCAACACACACAAAGCCAATGGTTTGTTCCTTAGCACTGCAAGAAAAAAATTTTGTGTATGTGCTGCTACTGGGACCTGAACTCAGGGCTAGCTGGTATTCTACCACTTGAGACATGCCACCAGTCCAGCATTTTGCTGGTTAATTAGAAATAAAGTCTTGAAGACTTTTCTTCCTGGGATATCTTCGAACCTTGAACCTTCAGATCTGTCTCCTGAGCTACTGGTGCCAGGCCAAAACTAATTTTTTTCTTTTTCTTTTTTGTCGGTTGTGGGCCTTGAACTCTGGGCCTGGGTGCTGTCCCTGAACTCTTCAGCTCAAGGTGAGCACTATACCACTTGAGCCACAGTGCCACTTCCAGTTTTCTGGTGGTTAATTGGAGATAAGAGTCTCAGACTTTCCTGCATGGTCTAGCTTTGAACCACAATCCTCAGATCTCAGCATTCTGAGTAGCTAGGATTACAGGTGTGAGCCACTGGTGCCCAGTCCCCCCACATTTTTTAAACTAATAAATGTATATGTTTAACTGACATGTAGTAGCTATTCATTTTTGAGGTACAGTTTGGCATTTCAACACATATATATCAGCTGGTGCTGGTGGCATACACATGTAATCTTAGTTACTCAGGAGGCTGAGACCTGAGAATTAAGGTTTGAAGCCAGCCCAGGCAGAAAAAAATCCAAGAGATTGTTGTTGTTGTTCGTTATGGGGCATGAACTCAGGGCCCAGTTAATTGGAGATAAGAGTCTCAAAGACTCCCCTGCCTAAGCTGGCTTTGAATCTCTATCCTCTGATCTCAGCTTCCTGAGTAGCTAGGATTATAGGTGAGTCACCAGCACCTGGCTCAAGAGACTATTACCTCCTATTAACAACCAAAAAGTTATAAGTGAAGCTGTGGTCAAGTGGTAGAGCACCATCCTTGAGAGAAATAGCTAAGGGACAACATCCAGGCATTGCATTCAAGCCCCAGTACTAGAACAAAGTAAAAAAAAAAAAAAAAAAAAGCGGTGGTACCACCATAGACTCCGCCTTGGTAATTAGGGCTGTCCATTCCTGGTGCCAACTGTCAAGCTCAAGGTCCTATGACATTTTGGAAGGTGTTCTCTTGGGAGAATTTCCTAGATCAATATTTCCTAGATCTGCATTTACTAAGTGTCACAAATTCTGGCTTAAAGCAATTATGAACCAGGTGCCAGTTGCTCACATCTGTAATCCTAGCTACTCTAAAGGCTGAGATCTGAGGATTGTGGTTCAAAATCAGCCCGTAAAGGAAAGTCTGTGAGAGTCTTAGCTCCAATTAATCACCAAAAAGCCACAAATGGAGCTGTGGCTCAAGTAGCAGAGTGCTAGCCTTGAGCACAAAAGCTCAGGAACAATAGCAGCATTAGATAGTCATCCCTCCCTATATCACCATTCACTTATTGCTACTTCACAGATTTTCACCTATTGCAAGGGTCTCTGCAACATAATTCTCACGATAGGTGAGGAATAACTGTTTACATACTTTAAAAAAAAACCCACAATACAGTGAAGCCACAATAAGTGAACCTCGATACAGAGAGGGGCAACTGTATTTCTACTCAGAAGTGGCTCAGGCCATGCTACTCAGGAGGCTGAGAGCTGAGGATCTGAGGATCAAGTTTCAAGGCCAACTCAGGCAGGAAAGTCTGAGAGACTCTTATCATTGGAGATGAACCAATGAACCACCAGAAAACCAGAAGTGGTGCCGGGGCTCAAAGTGGTAGAGTGTTAGCCTTGAGCAAAAGAGCTCAGGGACAGCACCCAGGTCCTAAGTTCAAGTCTTAAGATTGACAAAAAAAAAAAAAGTGCTGAGGCAGACATAGAGTACCTAATAGCTTCAGACTACCTTGCGGCAAAACAAATGATGAGCTCCATGTAGTTACTCATAGGTAAAGTTCTGTTCCAGGCTTGGAAGGCTGTAAGTGCTCCTACTGCACGTACACAAGAGCAATGACCCAAGATGAAGGCAGTAATAGCCAGCTCTTAGCAGCTAGAAGATCACTAAAGGAGATGAGGACAGAGCCACCTATGTACACCCATCAGTTGTACCCATTGGTTAATGGCAATCATATCCATCTGTACACCTAGATATA